AAAAAGTTCATCTATAGAAAACGCCAAATTGCATGCAAAATACTTGTTCAGACGATTTTCTCTTCAATTCAAATTCAAGTAAATTAAGGCTTTTTTCTCAACGCTGACTTCAATTGGCAGCATTAATCTCTCTTCTGAAAAGCCGGTATACAAAAGACATTTTCGAGAAAAAGAAATTGTGACTATATTTATAAATTTGCTTATTCAGTCAGAAAATTAACAGTTTCTTATTAATCTCGTTTTATTTTAGGATAATTGAGAATTTACGTCTCAGCTCGCAAAAATTATTTTATTTATTCTTCAATTGTGCAGAGTTGAATTGAACACAAAATCATCTTCAATTGAACACAAAAATTTCAAGGGCATAGTCTTGAGCTGATTTTATTAGAAAAAGTTAATATGAAGAGGTGAGAAATGCGTTGTTTCCTATCAACCGAGATAAATTGAAAATTTATATTTCCAAAGTAGAGTTAAATCTTGGCAGCGGGGGCTATAAAAAAAATTTGGCAGCGGGGGCTAAACAATTGGTTTAGTGAAGCTTTTGAATTTAATTCGTTATCGTTACCGGTTGTTTTTATGTGTTCTGCATCATAAACTTATCAAAAAAACAATCGCAATTTGTGAGTAAAAGGAGGCAGGTATTGAGAAACGTTCGAGATAACTTTTATTAAGATTAAGGTAACTGTTAACTTCGGTTACAGGACCACCCCGATTTTATTTTAATAATAAAATTACCCATTATATACTGATTTCACTGATTACCGAACTATTTTTTTTATTTTTAAGGGCCCATAAATAGAGCAAATGACATACCAAATATGGCAAGAATATCTTGCATATATCTTGTAAACTTTAACACCCTGTGGATGAAAGCAAAAGCCTGTTCACTCCATGTTCAAATTAACGTTTTCTCATAAAATTAGCCCTTAAAGTGTTTGTACTCAATTAGGAAACACAATTGGGAATTCCTTTAAAAATATCCTCTCCCGGTTTATAGTTTTTATACAACTTAAGGCATAAAATTGAAATTTAAACTACTGCAAGCGGTTTCAAAATGTCCAAATGAAATCTACTGGACCCGAAGAGACATAAAAGTATACATGTTCTACTTTCAATGTATTAGTCAACAGGGTTCAGAGTGAATGTTTTTGGCGATTTCTAAATATTTCCAAATTTATTTGAGCTAAAAAGGGTTGGCACTTCTTGACGCAGAAAAGCTAAAAGTGTAAGTGCCATAAATCAGAAAGGATATCAGAAGTTCTGGATTTTGTATGTAAATATAACCATACGTAGAAATAGTATTGAACATTGAAACAGCCGAAAGTTTTGAGCCGTAAAGTCATCATCAAAAATGTTTATTGGGATATTTCAAAATAACCAACTTGCTAGGTTCGAGTATTAAAAAATTTTAATAAAATGAATCGTTGTCAATATTTTTGTATTTTAACGTAGATTGTATTATTTGGAAAATGCACTGACTTTAATTTTAGCGGCTTTTCAGATTGGTTTAGCTTATTAATATTTCAAACATTACAATACCTCAACAATCAAGAGTAACCATAAGAGTTATTCGGACAACTGCCAAGTCTCCAGAATTTAATTTACATTTTCAATCGTTTCAGGCAGTGATGATCCGGAAACAGAATTCGTACTTGAAGATGTGCACCCTAAAACCTCGAAATGATACGTGGATACGTTCAATATTTTAGATAGAATCGACTCAAGAAACACCCAGACTATTAACGTACGTGGTACAATTTAGAACTCGAAAACATAAATGGCATACCAAATGGCAACTACAAAGATTGTTTGCACTTTTTGTTTCAAAAAGGTAAACCGCATAATACAGAAAAGGAAGTATTCGTCAAAAGCGGCAACAAATTTAAAACTCTAATAATTAACAAAACTGTAGCCAAAAAATGATAAAAATGCTGGAAAGACCAGTAACAAATCATAATTCGCTGCAGATAAAATGTGAAGCTCGCCGAAGCAACAACAGATGTAGACAAGCACATATTTCAAAGCGAGAAGCGCAATATTTTAAAATAAAATGCATTTTATTGAAATGGAAAACGTGCACCTTATTTTGAGTGGATTTTGCCTTAATAATGTAGAATATTCAATTTGGGTTTGTTGCCAGTTGCAAAATCAGTTTGGCTCTTAAATGGATTGAGCACAGCCAAAAAATAATTGGTTTTATCAAATAAAATTGTGCTTTAATGGATCGGATATGCACGAATCCGTTCATAGAACAAGAAATTTCGATCAATTTAACCATTGAAATTTGCAACCTGCAACCAAAATGCAAGAATTTTTCAATAAACTACAGCGTAGTGAAAAATGCAATAATTGCATTCATAGACTAGTGTATTTTCAAACAATCGCCACCAGATAATGTTGGTGATAGAAACGTTGAAAGGCTCAACAGATAATCCAATACAGCATTAAAATAGATGAATTTAACAAAATCAAAACCAATTGAATGGAAATCGATTGAACAAACAACTCCTCGTTTCTATTATTTTGGTGCCAATGATCGTTTCATTTGGGGTTGCTCATCCATTTAGAGTCTCACAAAATTGACAAACCTGAACGCTATTGCAATTAAAAAACACAACCTTTAATAACGAATTTTGCGCCTTTGAAAAATCATGAAAAACTCGCAGTTGCTCCCACGTCTGCATATTGCGACTACCCAGAATTTTAAAACTAAGTTAAAATTTATGGGTTATTTGAATATCATTACACCGTATTTGGGACAAAGCTAGTTGAGCAAAGGTCATAGGGTTTTATGAGGGGTAACGCGGAATAATAAGAAGACAAATGATAAGTAAATAAATTGAAGACAAACATCAATCTGCATTTGAATTGCTTTAGTGGGTGGGGATACTATAATATATAATATTGACAGTGACTATAAGGAAAATTTAAAGTTTTTCCGTGTAAGCTATTTGTCGACTCAGAGAAAGTGAAAATGTAGGCGGCTTAAAATGATCGAACAAAACAGACGAAGGAATAAATTAAAATATTAAAACAGTGGCAAAGTGCTAGTCCCTAAAACTATAAGTAAGTAAATGGAGCAAAATGAATCTACTTAAAAGATGTGAACAATTAGAAATTAATGATGAAGAATCTGGTATCGCGACAAATACAAAATTGCTTTTATAACAGCCACAATTATAAATAGTCATAAAAAGTATACTAATACATAATGTTAATAACTTGCGCCGTTTCATGTTGTAACATTTTATTTTAGAAAATTATTACAAGAATTTAACCATTTCTCCAAAAATGGTTAAATCCATTTCCTCCATTTCTTACTAGTTTCGATTTGGAAGCAATTGAGGCAAATTGAAAAAAAAATTGTTAAACTAAGATCTATCTCAATTATAACTTAAAATAAAATAAGTACAAAATTACACCTAAACACATAACATATTGTGACAAAGCATTAGGCGGACTTAAAACGATAGCCAATTTCGAAGAACTTAAGTAAAACTCAAAAAAGTCACATTAGAAGCAAGTAAACATACTAACAAATTGATTCTGCTCTTCATGACGCCTTGAGTAGTTCAATGGAAATTTCCATGAAGAGAGGATAGGAAGGTTGAAGACGTGCATAGCTTAAATTAAAATGGAGACATTCCAGCAGAAATTCATGAAAATAAACCTGAAAAAAAGTAAAACTAATCATGACGAAGATGACCAACCAACAATGATATAGTAAAAATTCAAAAGAACACTTGCGATGTTTGAAGCCTAAAAACCATTGCATTAATTAAAATCTTCAGTTGTAAAAATAACAGGCAAGATAATTTGTTTCTTCCAAGTTGCTCATTTCATCTTTAAAAGAAGACTTTGATAATAATATGTATTGTCTGAATCTATATTTTTGCGGAACAATAACAAGACAAATGATAAGTAAATAAATTGAAGATAAACATCAATCTGCATTTGAATTAATTAATTGAGATTAATAGTTTTTAAATATTGACAGTAAATATGAAGAAAATTTCAAGTTTTTGTAAATGCATGCTGGTTAAAATAATCGAACAAAACAGGCAAAAGAAGAAATGAAAACAACGGCAAAGTGTTAGTTTGGAAAATGTGGAGCAAATAAACGGGGCAAAATTAATCAACTGAAAGCGCCTTTAAACTTATAAAGAACGATAGATCATGCAGAATCTGGTTTTATGCTGGTATATAAACAATGCTGGTAGATAATAGACTAGTGTATTTGCAAGCTGATAAATGCTGGCCATTCTGTTTGGCTCTGGTTCCAGAAGCTTGTAATAACATGTTTTGATAGTAGGACAGCTGTCCAGATTATTCCACCTAATCCATCAAACAATAAAGGTAGTTTTATTGAAACCTGCCGAGACTAGATTTGATGCAATCCATTATCTAAGTGAGTAACACGAGCTTACCTCACTGGGCGGCTACTTGTGAGGTGCATTGAAATGCAGCTTTAGGCTTTAGTTTACTCAGCTTTGACATATATTATATGTGAAACGATCAGATCAACGGGCTTATAAGTTTGAGTAAATGTGGTCCAGATATCAGTCTCAGAAACGCGTTCATTTTCTAGCCATTTCCGTTGCTGGCCTGCAATTGCCAATAGAGAACCAGAGCAGTGAATCGGGATCTGGATAATGATTATTCTATTCGGGTATTTTTGGAGTAAATCAGCTTGTTGCATTAGAAGCTATATTGATTAAAACGGCAAATGAGCATGATTTAAAACTGCTTTGAGACTAGAGACTGACAAGTTACAAAATTTCCAACTGTCCATCAGCAAAATGTGTCGCGAATGGAGGCCGCAAATTTGCAGAAGAAAAAGGGGTGAAGGTGGGTGCAATTAATGAAGTTAAACAACACCATGTGAATCGGAAAACGTTCCCGGGCAGCAACCCTCCCTGGACCAGGCGCTGTCAAATCCTGCACGAGGCGCATCGTTTGGTAAGCCGTACGACTTAAGGGCTGCATTAATGGAAACTTACCTGCTGGCTCACATTTTGTCGCCCGGACATAGTCCCAACATGATCAGAAACGAACACACATCACATCACTGACTGACTTCTGGATTGCTCTGCAATCTTGCTGCCAGGATGCAGCTCGCTCCATAGGCGTGGACTGGCTGGGCGCCTACTATGCGGGTCGCGGTCGCTCCTCACGCGCCCCCTTTTCCCCGGATGCCGAGATGTGGATACATCGGGATACGGGATAGCGGGAACAGGCAAATCGGGCGTTCTCGCATCCTGGGAGGCTGCGCCGAACGGGCGCAGCCAACTCCAAACGGCCCGTCGAGATTTTTGAGGAATTCAAACTTTGCGTAGCGGATGGTTAGGGATTGTTTTCCAAACTGCATTGCTAGACGTCGGTACCCCACATCATCACTTGAACGAGTCTTCTAGTTTAGCTCCAAGGATTCCTGCATGCAGGCTGAGTCAGTGAAAATATCACGTCCTTCCTGTTCAGGAGCTATGCGAGTTGAATGCACTTTCAACTTATCTATACAGGGGGATTCAAAATTGACGTCAATACTTTGAGGGTGTTTTGGGGGAACAGAAAAAACGGTTTAAAAAATTCTTATCAAAAACTGAGACATTTGCACAAACTAGATCATTAATACTTTATATACTAATACTACAATATTTTTCAAAGGAAACTGCCTCATTGGCATTACGGAAATGCATGTTGCTTCTTAAATATTAAAAGCAAAAGTGATTCAACTTTAATTCGCTATTTGATATCATAATTGTTTATTGAGATTTGATATTGATATTCATATTTGATATCATCATTGTCATCAGTTTGCAATTTCATGTTTATTGTTATTGTTTATCAACGGAACCGCATGTTGCAAGCGGAGCGGAATCGTATTGGGTTCAAGTTCAGCGAGCAAAATTTCAATATCTCGGACACTAACGTCAATTGTTATTACTATCAAATAGGTATGATCACGATCCGCTTGCAAAAACATAAACAGGGTCAACAGTTGTTCCTTGTTATGGTTTGGGGTGCTACTTGATTCTATTCACCCCTGTTTTCCACTTTTAAATTATGTGGTTATTCTGCACCGTTTGTAACGATGGATGGTTGACTTACTCTGATGACCTCTGTGTTTGTATCTTCTGTCCATAACGATTGTACGTGCTATATTTTGTACTGTTTTTTTATATTTTTTAATTTTTTACCATTGTTGACTGTACTCTACGTACTTTATGTTCTGGTATTTTTTTTATTACTCGCTTTGTCCATAAAATTTGTGAATTTTTCCGTGGCAATAAAGCATATTTTGATTTCATTTGATTTGATGATTAAAATTCACCTAGCATTCGTAGACTATGGCAAGGCATTAGATTCGGAATAACACTAGAATAAACTCGAGAAATAGGGACCTTCTAAAATACATCTGCGGAAAACTAAGCCTGCAAGTTAAAATTGGGGGAGAACTTAAACAGCGAGGAGTAAGACAGGGAGACTTTCACACTGGCTTTAGAAGATGTTTTTAAACGAATGAACTGGGAGGAACGAATAGGAATAAACTAAAATAGCAGATCCCTTAGCCACCTTCGATTTGCCGATGACATAGTCCTGATAAGCAACAACCTGGAGAGACTTCAACAAATTCTAACGAAGCTAAAAGAAGCTTCAGAAGGAATAAGAATGAACATAAACCTTTCCAAAACTAAGACATTTTGGTTGGACTTGGGCAGGGCACCACGTCGCCAGACAGGAAAATACAAGATGGACAAAACTCATTCTATAATGGAGACCTAGACTTTTCAAACGAAGCATCGCACGATCACAAAGAAGGTGGATTGACGATATAATAGAGAAAGCAAAAAGTGACCGGTACCAAATAGCAAGGGATAGGTTGGAGGGGAGACGACGAGGGAAGGCTTATCTTCAGGGGTGGACCGGAAAGGCTGCTGAAGAAGTAGAATAACTCATCTTCGAGGAAACTTGCCATTAGTTTGAAAGTAATAAAATAACACTCCAACAATCGATACTTAATCACGCTTTACATGCAGGGTGATTCAAAATTGGCGTCGTTCCTCTAGAGGTGTTCTCTAGCGGTGTTTTAAGAGTACAGAATTTTTTTTTTTTTAAACTACTATTGTTGTTAAAAGTTGAGAAATTTGCAAACAATTATATTAGAAAAACGGCAACAATGTTTTTCAAGGTAATCTGCCTAATTAACATTACGTAAATACCTGTTGCTTCGTAATTCGACATTAGTTACACACTTTTAAATTATTTGTGCACGTTTGAAGCACATTTATTCGAATGATTTTCTAATATTAATAGTTCCATAATTGATACACGAATTCGAAATCTGAATTAGTTGCACTTACTAAGAGAAAATAACAGGATATTTTCTGAAGATCATAGAAAACTATGAGAGTTTGGCATCATTTTCCGAACATCTTACTTTCTACAAAAACAAAATAAAAAATTGTCTTGAAATATGACGAAAAAGGCGGCGTCATGTGCCGAAATCGATTAAAACTAATAGTTAATTTGAAATGGTGATATTTCGTGTGAAAACGGTCCATTATTCTCATGCGTATTTAGTGCCTTATCCAGTAGTGCAAAAATGAGAGGTATGATAAAAAAAGTTGGCGAAAAGTTCTCATGTAAATGTGTAATATTCAAAACTCCTTTTTGTGTAAAAACTGCAGCTACTTATTAACTCAAGTTTCACTTACTAAATAGGGGTTTTAAATATCTATACAATTATAGAAAAACAGGCTTTACAGCTCAAAAGGTTTACTTCCTAAATGGGTTGTTTATTGCTCTGTAGCGGGGTAGAAATAAGAGGGCTCGCTCAATATGTTCTCCAGATATGAGCAAAAAGTTGGCGGAAAACATGAAATTTTGGCTGAATCTTGGACCCAAATGTGTGATCTAAAAATTTAGCTTTTGATGTAACAACTGCCACAAGTTCCTATATCGCGTATCACTTAGTGAATGGGGTCTTTAATATTCTATCCAATAATACGAACTTTATATTATATTTATATATATTTCATCATTTATAGCGCAAATGGTTTTTGGGATATGACGAAAGTAGTACCGTCAGCCAAGACCCACCCAGGGTTGTAGAGCTAACCGAAGAAGTACAAGAAGAAGCTCCCTCCACATGTAAGATCAAAACAAAGATCAAATGTAAGTTTCTAATTTTAGAAAGAACCCAAATATCGAGTTTTTTATCGATATTATTTGAAAAGTTACCTAAAAAACAAGAACGAATATTAATTTTTTTAACAATCTGTGGATGCGAGAAGTAAAGCCTTGCAAACACTTACCTACATATATAAAAATTTTATCTTAAAAATAAGTGCTAAATGGACATTCTTCACTGTTAGTACACTAAGTTATTAAGTTTTTAATAGGGTTGTATATGTATATTTAAAGAATCGCTATCAGACATATGAAATTATGTTTAAACCGGCTATTTTTTGATTGCCCAGTTATAACAATTAATTTTGGTTTGGTGACATATACCATGTATAAATGTATGTATAAATTGTTGTTCTGATTGTATTTGTACATATCTTCTACAAAAACAAGCTCTTTTTATTCAAGTCTCTACAGTTATTCATTCATGAGCTATTTGAAGATTGACAATCCCCACATCTCTAGTCTAATAACTATTGGTGTAGATGCCTTTACTTTTTTTACTTTATCAAAAATGCTATTTTAAACCATTGCGGTATTTTTGTTTTAAAATTTGGCGCTAATTTCTGTTACTGTGCAAGATATGAAATTTTTTACTTTTTTCTTTTGACGGGACAACGCTCTAATTCCCTGGCCCTTATAAACATTATTATTACAGCTTGAGTGCTTCATGGTTCTTCCGTTTTACAGCTTTTTTGACATTTGTTACCAGTGTCGCTTTGTCTAAGCGTCTTCTGTATGCTTTCATATTTGAGATAAAAATTACATGCACTTTTTCAATTTATAAATTAAATCAATTTGAAGTTTGAAAAATCACTAAATGACATTGTTTTTTTTTATGAAAACCTTATATTGAGTAGCATTAACGTTGATTTTTTATTAAAAATGTTTATCAATAAATGCTTTTAAAAGATGTGTTCAGCTTTCTAAAACAAATTTTCCTACAAAAATTTTATGCTGAAAATTGTTATAGACAAATTTTTAAAGCAAACCTTGCACACCGAAAAAATTGAAAATTCAGTACTGGATATTTAAAAATTATGAGGAAAATTAACTGATGATGATTTTAGAACAGTGAAACAGCGCAGCCCAAAAATGAAAGTATTTCGCTCGGGAAGAAAGAGTTTTCTAATACCGCTGTTTGAATCTTTTCTAAAAAAGAATTAGAGTTAAAATTGTATCTAAAAAGCATACAGTTTTCTAAACAGCACATCCGGAAAGGATGTGTAATTTCGCCTCTATGCAACCTACTGCTTTTCCCATCATTATAAAAAATCGACCCTATTTGATCGAATTTATGTTATTTACGAACACTCTTTACATAGTTTATTATAAGGCATGATTCGAGGTTTTTAACCCTGTACATACCATCAAATTTCGCATATGAATGTATAATTTGCCACCCTCGGTATTATGAACTGTAAAGGGCTAGTGCTTGAAAAGCATTGAAAACAAATTTTGCAAATCGCCCACCCTTTCCATACAAATATCGATTCAATTCAATTCGCATGCGAATTAAGCAGAGTGCTTGAACTATCTGGCATTTTCTGGATATCTGATTTTCAACATTTCTTCTAATATCATTAATTTCTGACTGAGAAAAACAGACCTTCACCCACACGTGAAATTCCGGTGCATCGAGTGCATTGATTTCGCCCTAAAGTCTCGTAGATTGTGACGATCCATCCACCAGAGGGCACACGATTTCGCCCTACTAGCGTAATTCTTCCTGGAAAATACGATTAGAAGTCACGTCCGAAACGACATTTTAGAGTTAATGAACTATCCAGGCAGACTCTGTTGCGAAACTAATAATATAAGCCAGCCAACAAAACAGTTTGCTTTACTTATTAATAGTAGCTGTTTCTTTTCTTATTACTAATTATCTAGAGTACTTTAAGTTAAATTGTAACCTTTTATTCAGATTGGGGCTAAAAACAGAACAGAAGGACCCGTAGTATCCAAAATTTGCTTCCCAGTTTTTTCTACAGCTGCTTTTTAATTTGTTCAAGATATTTGGAGCATTGATTAAATTGAAGGTCTGATTTTCTTGAGCAATGTCATTTTTGCTTTGTTATACAATTTCGGCCTACATGTTTTTATATTCAAGAAACATTTATTTGTCAAAAAATCACTTAGATGATTTAAATTGATAGCGTTTCTGGAAAACAACAGGGGCTGTTTGAACTTAGGCACATAAAAAATAAAAGATTTGCTAGAAAAAAAGAGATTTTTTTAAATGTGAAACCATCCAACTGACGATTGTGTGAATACGAAAACTGTGAAAAAACCTTTTCTTGTCGCTGCCAGCAATACTTTAATGACGAGTAAGAAATTTCCGACAACGTTTCTTTTGTAATTTCATTCACTTCAAGTTCCCATTCAAAATATTTTACGTTCAATTATAAAATGCTTGTTACGATCGAGCAGAGAAAAATAATGCCATTTATGTGAACTAATTATCAATCCAAATGTGAATTCACACCCATATCTCCCGATGAACTACGCTGAATAAAAACCTGAATTGAAAAATCATTTTAAACCGTTCATTTACGAACTTTTTCTGTTTAGGGCACTTTATCGAAAGCATGCATGTTGCATTATATGCACAAGCAATGACCTGTCAGCGATACACAATTGAATACTGTTAAGTGTATTATACCGCCCTTTACACTGTATAGAGTTTCGACATCTCCATTATTCCATGGCTCGGTCCATATTCCATTTTCAGGTTGGCATTAATAATAGGTGAGCAGCTATCTTTTGCCAGTCGTGTTCTCGCTAAGCCCATTGTCATTTTACCGCTGTAGTCTGCTCAATAAAGACAACCTTATCTTTCCATTCCGCGGCTATTAATATGAGTTAACATTATACAGCTGCTTTTCAATAATTTCTATGCTTCGTTCTTCTTAGAATAGTCCCAACATTCAGGCGTGTCTATTCAATTTCGCTTCAGTTTCCTAAAGACGACCTAGAACTACAACATACAATGCCACTAAGGTGAGTAATTAAAAAATAATCTGTTCAATTTATATGAAGTCTCAGCATATTATCAATATGCAGCTATAATTAAAAAATCCTTTGCTCTGCTTGTGCAGTAAAATTTACTGTCAACGTCTCCAACCAGTACATTAATATTAACAAAAGTCTTTGGCTCAAATTTTTGCAAGATTGTATTAAGTTTTAAACAATGTTGGAACTTGTTAACTTCCCTTATAAGCAGCAATAAAGAAAAGTGCCAACTATCGTGCAACAAATCAATGATTTCTTCGAAAATTTCAAATTGCTCCAACATAAAGTTCAATGTTTTAATTTCAAAATGTTTAAATCTAAATGACTTGAACTAGTTGATTCGATATCCCGCGCCACCCTGTATTTAGAATAGTAAATCTGGCTGCATTATTTAAACTTGTTGTTGCTTATTTTTATATTTCCCTCCTTTCATTGTTATAGATGTTTTGGTCATTTATTTACTTGTTTATTGACTATGAGACAATCTAAACGACCTGTTTTACTTAGAAACAAAGGGAATATTTAACCATTTGAAGTTAATTTACCAAAGTTAATTTACCAAAGACTAATTGAAGATCAAAAAATAAGCCGAACCTCACAAAGACGCATAAAGCAGAATAATAAGTTGAAAAACAGTGGATTTGAATTTTGAGATGTCCGAACGCTGATCCACTAGTTAGAACCCTTTATTTGCTATGGCTGGAAGTAAGGAAACTAAAAAGCGTTATCAAGGTAAATTTTCGCCTTCATCTTCTAGTTCTTCAGTTCAAAAAATTGACGATTGTTTTAATATCAAAAAGAAGGAAGCTAAACATTTTATTACAGTTTAACTTATAAAAAACGAATCAATTCTGTAGCATGTTTTGATGTACTTTGCTTTAGACTTGGGATGTTATTTTCGTTTTACCGAAACATGCCTGGATATCTACAAGTATAAAATGGTTTATTTCTCGGCAATTGCAAACTGCTGCAGTTATACTCTTGCGGGCATTGGATTGGTCGCTTATGGTTTTCGAACAGGTTTCGAAAAGTTCTGCCTTGACTATGGACTCTTAGTTATTATGATGGTTGTTGTGAGTATGTTTTGTAAATTATATAAAGAAAAATTAAAATTGCGACTTTTGCTACATTAATATAACAATATAATGTTATACCTCAATGAAGTCTGCGAAAGAGTGTCCGAAATCTAAAATGATAAACAAAAACTTAGACTTTTTAAAGATTATCATTCTTTTATCTTCTATTTTTTCTTTTTCATTAACTAGCAGGGGGTGCACGTTTTATACCATTAAATGCCAAAAAAACAGGGTTTGCCAGTTAGCAATTTAGCTAAATTTCAAATTAATTAGTAAATTTTTGAAAACGACTCAAGTTCCTATAAAACTAGCATCTGCTGTCTTCTTTGGTCGGCTCGTACAAGTAACTAGTAAAGGTTATCAATAGTGTAGGGCCGATCAATATTAAGAAATCATTTTTAATTGCCTAATTTTACATGATATAACTTAAATACGTTTTATATGAATGAAAATAGTTCGATTATTTGTTTTCTTTTACTTACTTTTACTTCTTTGACGTTGGTTGATTTCTTTAGCAGTATCCATCGACGGTTTTTTTTTAAAGCCATTGATATTTTTTCTATAATATATAATGTTATTTACATAAACAATAAAACTTATTTATAATATACAGGGTGTCCCATAAGCACATGATCAAAAGGATACTGCGACATTCTTTGCATCAAAAGAAACGATCTAACTTTTATTATCAAAAAATATCTGGCTCCTCTGCTATTGATGGTCAAAGTTTTTGAAAAAAATTATCTTTTGTGAAATATTGGGAGAATGGTACGATGTATTTTAGTGAAACTCGCTGTGAATTTGATCGTATATAAATAAGACTCATATTTTGATGAAACAATCCAGTTATTAGTAATTATATATTTATAAACATTTTAATTCAGACACATTTTTTATATTATTATACAGGGTTATTCACGCTATACGGCACGGAAGTTTGCGGCAAAACCGTTTTATTTTTAAAAAGTATTATTTTATCAATTAAGAGACGCCTACCGGGCGCACATTTAAAAAATATTTTTGTAATGTACAGGATGTCGCAAAACCCTAAAAGGATCAAAGTTGTATTTTTTAAATGAAATTATTTAAAAAACCTTAAGATTTTACGGTTTTGCCGCAAACTTCCGTGCTGTATAGCGTGAATAACCCTGTATAAAATTATATATTCATAATATAAAAAATAAGTAAATATAAATAATAATACAGCATTTTTTAACATTATCTTCCAGTATAATTGTCATATAACAATATGTTTAATATATCATAAAAAATGGAAGGCAATGAGACAGCAATTTGTGGCTGGTTTTTCCTGGAACTTAGATAATTTTGCACCTAGTTATCGAATGGAAATTTTGCGAATATCATCAGGAAACGAAGAAAGCACTAAGCTCGTTGGTCTTGCTACTGCACTTATTACAATATCTATTCAGGTCGACTTTTATTCAAGCATTAAAGAAATTATCCTCTACTTTGGTATTCCAGGTACTCGTATAAACTTCTATTTCAAATTCCAACACTTACTCTTTTGGTTTTAGAACATTTCATACCCATAATTTTGGTGGGTATCTACACGCATATTGTGTATATGTCGTTGAGTTCAGTTATGGCCACATACTACATTTTCTACTTCTTGTGGTTGATCAGAATTCAACAAGTAGTGCTGCGGAGCATGGCTGATAAGTTTCGAAGCAACATTTTGCTAAATCGCAGTGATAATTTTGTGGAAGACGCATTAAAATCGATAATCAAAAGCCACCAAACAATAATAAGGTAGAGATCGATAGAATGGAATTTCTAAGCTTGTTTGTAGATGTTTTAGGTTGGTTAAAAATGAGTCACATGTCCTACGCCTTGGTACAAGCATTTCCATGTTCCTCTGTCTTGGTTTTTTTGTATTCTTGGTTACATCAGTAAGTTGTCAATTATTCATTCAGTATTGTTATTTAGAATATAATATTTTTTTCTTGAATGAATGGTAGAAATTTTCACGCAACATCCGTTCAGAAAACCTGTTTAGAAATCTTTGATATAAATGTCATACAATTTTCAGTTGCTGTAAAGGAGATACTAATATCGTGGCCGCACCAAAAATTATTAAAAATCTTTTGTAGCGTAATGTGCAAATAGGGATTAAGAGGGTCTAAATGATCAATTAATGTAATTTTAAATTCCAAAGCAAATATAGCAAATCGAAGCCATTAAATTGACATTTTTTAGAAAATCGGCAAAGGCAAAAAGCGAACGGTTGATTTTAAAATTTTATACTTTTAATATATACTGCAATCAAATAATCAAAAAATATTTGCAGAATTTTAGGTTATTTCAGTATTTTAATTTTCAGCCCTTTCATACGAGCATGCAGGGTCAAGTTGGGTTTATATCTGTGCACATATTTATATTTTATTTGTCGCATGAAGGGCAAAATGTGGACGACGAGGTAAATACATATTAATAAGATACAAAGTAATTCGGGAGAAAATAAATTAAACAAATTTGTAGGAGGTTACAAGCAAAATTTGCTCATTGATGTGCATATGCTTTTTTTTTCTTTAAGAGGTACATTAATTAATTGTAATTTAAAAACTAAAAGAAAAAATATTTCAAAATCAAAGAAATATTTAAAAGCAAAAAGCATCAAGATGTCACAAATTTTCGGAAATATCAGCTTTTACATAAACTTCTTTGTGCATTTATATCTTGTTCTGGTTGCGAGTTTTTGCGAACAACAATTCACTAAAACATTTTAATTTCACATATAATACCAACCATTTTATCTACCCCCAAAGACAAAAATCTAGAAGAATTTCTAACACAATTGGAAAAATCATATTTCCTCTAAACTGTCTTCTAAAAAATTTTGACTTTATTAACTGTTTATATACTTTATAGGTTTTATAATAATTTTTGTTGTTAGCTTTTAAATTAAAATTAATAAATTACTCTCTGAAATAAATATTAAGTGGGTTTGAGCAAATGAGCTTATTCCGACTTTCTAGACATATCTGAAAAATATTTCCTGTCCAACTAACAAAACAGACATATTTAGGAGTGTTGGGGCATTTGAGCGACCCCAATACCTTTAATATTTAGATAATAGGTAACCTTGCATGTATACGGATGTATAATAAAATATAAATGCTTTATAAAGTGTTCCAATTTATTATATATTATTTAAGAATGAACAGTTTCACATGCTATTATATGAGTTCAACTGGTATGCATGGAACACAAAAAACTGTAAAATATTCGCAATATTCTTCATGAACACCGCAGAAATGGCAAAGGAGCAGGGAAGTGCTTTATTCCAGGTTAATCATGAATATTTTATGAAGGTAAATTGCAGAAGTTGTTCTAAATGTGGACGCAATTGAGATTGAATGCCATTTTATAGGACGATTTTTTTTGTGAATAAAATAAAGTTTTTAAGCTAACAATGCCAATTTAAAAAAGAGGTTGAGTAAATGTGAAGAATTTTTCAAAATTCAAATATTTATATTCAACGTTTCTGTGAAAAATATGTCCAAATTTCGTCAAGTATCTCCTAGTTTTTGAATTAAAATTACGGACGTATACCATCATTAATTTTTCAGAAAAAAATAAATATTTTGTTCTTATATATTATTATATTATTACAGTGGATCATTTTTCATAAAAGTGAACCTTTTGTTAAATATTTTAACTGTAGGTTTTGCATTTGATCTATCTGCTCATTCGTTTTAACATTTTTTGATATTTTATGAAAAGTTTCAATGTGATTTTTGCATGTTAAAGATTAATTCGTTTTTATCTGCTCATTAACGCGCAAAGTACTCAAATCAAATGCGGAAAGAAAAATGAATTTGCTAATTAATATTATTATGCAAAAATATAAAATAGTTTGTAAAACATTTTTACTGAGGGTACAATCACTGAAAGGCAAATAGTTGCTTATTTATTTTAAAAATTTACAAACTATATTAATATGCTATTTTTCACATTTCAAATCATTTTTTCATCAAGTTTGCAATATAGAAAGCTTTTTAGGTCAATGAATATGTAGAATATGCATGAGTGAATGAATATGAGCAAAATATGTTTCAGAAAAGAATATTCTAGTATTCCGAATAAAGCTTTTTACATTTTCAGACCGCAAGAATGGCATACGCTTTGCTCAACCTACTTAGAACAACTACTAATTAGTAAACTAAGCTTGTTAATAAGCTTTGTCACGGTTGCTGAAAAATCCCGTTCACTGTCCACTTTCACAAAAATTAAATTCACATTCAAGTTCCAGTTGGTAAATGGCTGGGCGTCAAGTAAGTACTTCAATTTATTTTTCCTTCAAAAATATCGAATTTCTAATAAGATTCATTCAGACGAATTTCAGGTCGACTTAAATTTATATCCCTATAACTCTGAGAGGTTTTCGTCGTTTTCTAGATGAAAAAATATTTGTTCACCACCCATAAATTCGATAACTAAATAGTGAGCTGGAAACAATGCAGCCAATTTTCTTAGTCAAATATTCAATTGTAGTGAAAATAAATGTCGTGATAATGCAACATAATAAAAAACCAAATTATCAAATATTCAAATAATCCCGTTTAGCTTTTAAGACATTATGTGAATTATCTGAATAAATGTTGCTAAAGTTATGAAAACAGCCTTCTATTGACTATAATATTTTTCCTCCGACTGAGTACTTAGCTCTTTCCGAAAAACATTTTTCCTATATAATCACAAACTGTTTGTTGGGTATATCGCCTCAGAATTTTTTTTCAGGTTACTTAAAAAAACGATTTTCGGTTGTGAATGTAAATCTGTCACCACAAAATATTTACAAAACCGGGTCTACATTCTAAGCATATTTATAGAGCATTTCTTGTTAGGTATTGCTTGAAACTGGTGAGTTTTTGGTTTTGGTCACCGAGAAAAAATCTTCTAAAATGTCTTTCAACAGCTTAAAAAAATGAAAGCAATTTGAACAAAATTCCCAATAAATTTTTATTCATAATCTATGCTATAAAATATAGGAAAAATTGTAGATCTATATTGATGAGGCGGATTCATGTTTTCACAAACGAGTTGTTGGGTATTTCGCCTGAAAATGTTTTTTTTTATTTTTTAAAAAAGATAATTTTTTCACGTCTTTTACTACAAATTGATAAACAGTGTTCTTATCTCGCAATAAGAACGAATTCTTTATCAAAAGGTAATAAAGATCAATCAAAGAATCACCTAGAAGGTTTCCTGCGACACACTTAGGCTCAAGCTGTAAGAGAAAATTCCAATTAGTAAAGAAATTAATTTGAAAAAAACTATAACGTTTCGTTCCTCGACGTTTCGATTACTATTTTCTGCTGTGGTTAACAAAATAACCGGATTTAACCTAAAAACGAGTATATTAATTAATAGATTATGTAACAATATTAGGAGAACACAAATATGTAAAATTCGCTCTGATAATTTATTTTTTATTATATATGTTACATGACCGTATATGTAAAACCGGCAGTATATAAAATGATATATACGGACCAGTTACAAATTTGTCCTTCAAGAAACGGACTAGTTGGTTTGTAAAGGACTAGACTGTTTATAGTCTGATTCTATATACCGTCTATAACATATACATATACAAAAAACGGATTTTCCATAGTTTCGCATAGATTGTTCATCAAAATTTATTGAGAATTTCTCTGTGACCAAAGCCAAAAAACTCGCCAGTTTCAAGGAATACCTATGTAGGAATGATCTATAAATATTCTTAGAATGTAAACCCGATTTTACATATTTTTTTTGCATTTACATTTACATACACAACTCAAAATCGTTTTTTTAAGTGGACCTATAAGTAAATTTTTGTGCATTTCGATTTCTGGGTCAAATTTGGTCTGCGATTATGTTGCTCAGAAATTATTTTAATTTTAAATAAACGTGTTCTTTAATCAAACAATTCAATATCTGATATTTCTGATTCAAGATAGAATATTGCACTTTCTCCTCAATACAGACCATAATAAGTACTTAATTACATGCTCATAGAAATACCACTCAGGCTATCACGATTCTTGTTTAGACAATGATATTCAAAGAGAAAAATAGATTTACTATTTTTGCAAATATGATCGGTAATATATAAGTGTTTTTCTTTTGGATTCTGTCACAATCAAAAAAACATTCTTACACTTTTCAAGTGGTTCAAAATTGTTGTTAAAATATATCTACGCGATAAAAATCTTTAGAAATTTTGCAAGTGAGCTCTTGTTATCTCTCAAAATAAAATTAAGCCAATTTTGAGTTTTTTTTTGTATAATTTTGTCTTATCAGCTGATATACTGGAAGAAATGGAGGTGATTATTTCATTCAGTGTCACTGACTGTGATCAAAGTGTCCAAGATAAAACAATGTTGCTTTATTAGAGGTTCTTGTTTGGTTTTTGTCGTGTATATTTGTTTCGGGCATTTCGATTGTACCAATTTGTAAACGTTTTCAATGTAGACGCTGCAAACGATATTCACCGAGAATAAATGTCAACAACAGAATCAGTTAATTTAATTGATTGCTATTTTCAATTTTCATTCAATTTATCAGGTATCAATCTAAAAGTATTTACTAATAAAACGAAATAAGTCTTAAACTTCATCAATAAAAGCATATTTATTATTTTTCAGTAGGAGCAATCCATTTAAATACTATTTCATGTTCCATTTTACACAGGACTTCCTTGCAACATTACGGTCAGTTCTTTAACATTTACATGCTCTGGAGTTGATAAGACATATAAAGCTGCATCGGCAATATCCCGAGCGTGCAAACCCTTCACTGTAATTTTCTCCCAACTATTACTTCCAGACACTTCAGTAAATGCTACTTTGACAATATCTGTTTCCACATACCCCGGACTGAGGCTGGTAATTTTAATTGGCAACTTTTCCCTGTTGATTTCCAACCTAACCGATTCAGTTAAAGCAGTAACAGCAAATTTAGAAGCTGGATAAAACCCTGCGTTAGGGAAATCAAGAACTGTATGCCCAGCAGTACTATTAATGTTGATAATATGCCCTTTGATGTTATGGGCTTTCATGCTTGCAACAGCTTCTCTTATCCCAGTGGCTACAGCCATTACGTTGGTGTCTATCACAGCTTTCCACTTTTCGATGTCACCATCAATTATACCAGACACCTTGAGAACGCCAGCATTATTGATTAAAATACTAATTGGACCAAGTTCCGTGGTAATTTTCTTGAATGTCCGCAATATCTCGTCTTGCTTAGTTAGATCACATTGATATGCGTGCAAAACTCCTCTCTCACCAAGCAGCTTTTTGGCATGTTCGCGAACGCTTTCTGCTCTTCTTGCAACTCCAGCAACCATAACACCATTTCTCACTAAAAGCTTTGCAATAGCTTCTCCAATTCCTGCAGAAGCACCGGTCACAACGGCAACTTTACCAACAAATCGTCCCAATGAAATGGAATAAGACATATTTTCGCAATGCTTAGCTGATAAATGCTCTACGATTCACGATAGTCGCGAATGACTGTTAGTGATATCAGTTATGACTTGCTGTATTATTAAATTTGATGACTAGTTATGTTACACTCTTGAAATAAATCGTGTTAACTATTTTCGATAAACACCATGGACCATTCTCGGAAATATTCAAGTAACTGTGTGAAACTAGATTTCAAAGCTTTCTGAAGATTTATTTTTCAGTCATAGTTTTAGTTTCTTTCAGAACATATATCAGAGTCATTTTGCTAGAGTTTACTAGATGGACGTGAACATTTTTAAATTATGTAAAGAAAATTTCGTAGACTAACTGTTGAATGTGCATTATTATTCAAAAATTATCAAATTTTAAAATGCATTTTTAGAAGAGACATTGTAAATCGTGCAGCGATCGTGTAGATATTCGCTTATTGAGGAATTGCCTCTAGTATAAAGCAGTTTAGTATCGAAAAAGTGCAGTTATAATGGTGCGTGCATCTAGACCTAACGAGCCTAGCCCGAGCCGAGCCTGATCCGTAGCAAATTCGTTTCATACTTCGTCAAAACATCGCCAAAAAATCGATCTTCTGTCGGTGTTTTGAAAAATAATAATTAAAAAATAATACAGATTCGTCCAGAAACGCGTACTAGATCAAACTTATATTTGTTTAAACGAAGATATCATTTTTTAAATTTTTTTATTATTTATTCACGATAAATTTTCAGTAGATTTCATACAATATATCGTATACATAAAATCAACTAATGGCAAGCTAGAAACAATTAAATATCGGCTTTCTACTGAAACTTAGTAAAGTTAATAAAAAAATGTAAGTCTAGAATTTATTGATGTAGTTGTTCATGGTTTTAAAAGGCAAATTAAATCATATAAATCAACTGTGAATGGAATGATGAATAGGATTAAAGAAATACACAGAAATGTTAAAATTAATGAAACAAATTAATGAAATTGAGAAATAAGAAGAAATTTACAAAATATGGAAATTGAATCACAGTGGAGTTACTTAGCTATAGTTAAGCAAACACACATTTATGAATTCAACATTAAATTTATAATCCTTCGAAAAACTCTAATCAACTATTTGCCAGTATCATAAATGGGCAATTTTATTTCTTTTGCTAACATATCAGGTGCAATTAGTAGTTGTTAAATTAATCTCTTGGAAACGGCACGAGATAACAACCTGGTTTGTCTTCGGATCCCAGTGGAAAAAATGGACTTCCCTTTTGTCGGAAAGTTCGAATTTTTGAAATCCAAATATATTTTTTCATATTTGAATGTTTTTAGCATTTTATACTGACAGCATAATATACAAAGAATGGGATTTTGCTTCGTCAAATACCAGTATATGTAAGTTTGGTTTTTAGTTTGAGATTCAATTTAAGCCGTTGATTGTCGGAAACTTTTAATCAATACGATTAATATTATATGTGGAAAACAGTGCGTTGTTCAAAAAAAAGTACGGATAACTTGTCTCATACAAATTCATAAATAAATTTACTCTCGTTTAAGGAAAATTAGTACCGCATTATTTTTTATTTAAAATTCTTCAGAGGCTATTTGGAATTCGTTGTATCAGAAAAATATTGTGGGCTTTAAAATAAAAAAAGATTCGGATGTCATTTTTGGCTCGGTTTAAAATTGCATTTACCAAAAACTGATATTTTAGATTTGGTCAGATTTAGTTTTAAGCCCACAATGTATTCAAAATGACATGGTCTATATTCTTTAGAATGGAACACATCGGCTCACCTAACACCCTGTATAGTTCGGACGACAAAGTTATTATAAACTTTTCACATTTATCAATGTTGAAGTTAAACAGTTTTAACCATTATCAATGAAAAACAATTTTTATCGCTTATTAATTTTATTGAAAAAATACCTGCAGTACTTGGTAGGATATTCATAAATGCTTTATATAAACTTGATTTCTTACAATCCTACAAAAAGTTTCCTTGCCTCACCACAGTGAGTTGTGTAACATTTACACGTTCAGGAGTATTTACGACATATAAAACTGCATTAGCGATATCGATAACATCCAAACCCTTCGCTGTAATGGCGCTCCACGTTTCATCTTTAGCAAATTCACCGTATGCTAATGCAACAATGTCTGTTTCCACATAGCCTGGACTAACATTGGTTATTTTAATCGGCAACTTTTCTCGGTTAATTTCTAATCGAACGGTTTCAGTTAACGCTCTAAGGCCAAATTTGGTTGAAGGATAGAAGCCAAACTTTGGATAGTCGGGAACGATGTGACCAGCCATACTATTAATGTTGATAAGGTGTCCTTTGATGCTATTTGCTTTCATGCTTGCAACAGCTTCCCTTATGCAAATTGCTGCAGCCATTAAATTGGTGTCCACCACAGCCTGCCATTTTTCGATGTCGCCCTCGATAATACCAGACATTTTGAGAGCTCCAGCATTGTTGATCAAAATACTAATTGGACCAAGCTCTGTATTAATTTTCTTGAATGCTGCCAATATATCATCTTTTTTAGTCAGATCACATTGATATCCATGAAGACTTCCTTTCTCACCAGCCAGTTCTTGCGCATGTTGACAAACGTGTTCAACTCTTCTTGCAATTCCTGCAACGATAGCACCATTTTTCACTAAAAGCTCTGCTATGGCTTTGCCAATTCCTGCAGACGCGCCAGTCACAATTGCAATTTTACCCACAAGTGTTGTCGAAGACATTTTTCGTACACACAATCAACAGTTATATTAAACAGAATTTAATGCAATATTATGCGGTGAAGGTGAGCAAATACTTGCATTTATACGCACATCCAATGACATCATTTTTTTCTAATCATGATAATTTATTAAAAAGCTTCAATGCCATTTAAAAATAAGTAACAGATTCTATTCTCGGTAAATGTTGGCTGATTCTCGAAAATTATTTAATATGCTGCATTAAAATTGACTTACTTAATTGATGTGGTTTTCGAGGCTCTCATTTGGGGACATTTCTTGCAAAATAAATCCCAGGTTAAAGCATTGTTTAAGTGTTTGGCCATTTCTGCAAGGAGAAATCTGCTATATCGGTTCTTATGTGTTGTCCGGAAAACATGTTTATCTACTGGTTCGTTGAATGTTGTTCGGTTTTAGTCAAAAATAATGTTACGACTATTATCAAATAGATAATTTACCAGGAGATTGAAAACGTGCTTATGTGCTTCCACAGGACCTTCATATAAAATAGCTATAATTTACTTTCCGGTTCAGAGATAGTTTGCTTGGTTCGAAAAAATCGAATACTAAAAACGTTTCAACGTGAAGGGGATGTGGGTTAATAAATACACCTTTTACTTGTTAACTAACAAAACTCGGCACTTAAATACCTTTGATATTTTTCTGTTTTTTCTTCGTTGCCTTTAGACTCCTGGACATCGAACCTTTGAAATCAATTTTTTGAAACCATTCGAAGTTAGAACGATGCTATCGTCAAATCTCAGAGGCCCAGATATGATCTGTCGACTTTAAGACGTGTTTTTTCACATCGTAACTGTTTAAATCTTTCAATGCCAGGGCAAAAAACTTCGGGAATACAGGGTCTCCTTGGAGAACACCACGTTGAACTGGGATTCGGCTCGTTTCAAGGTTATCATCTATTTTAAAATCGAGATGAATTTCTCTATATATTTTCCAAACTCTTTGAGCATCGTTAGCCTACTCTGGCACGGTCCATATATCTTAAAATAGACCATGTTGCGATCGAGTCGAACCCTTTGGTGAAGTCTCTAAATGTACGATGTAGGCGTATATTTCATACTTAAAACTCTTTTCAGAACGCCAAGGTTTTATGGCACAAAAGTTTTATACAAACAACTTAACATATTTGACATAAATTCTATATATCGGGTGTCAATTTGAAAACTTCCCACCCTTAATATCTTTCATCCAGTTAAAAATATGAAAAATAGGAAACCCGTCAATTTTATTTGTAAGGAGGACACTTTAAATTTATATTTTTAGCCTCCTTTTGTTTCAACCCCTTAGGATGAGTAGATGTCACCCTGGTCAAGTGGGAGATCGTTTTAAAGAGCGTTCAATTCTCTTTACATTAGTTACTATTTTAAACTTATGGGGCGATAGTTTTCTATTTTTGCAATATCCCCTTTTTTCACAGAATAATTACTGCATTGTGGCACTCATCAGGATTTTTCCAGTGAAATTGAATAGGACATTTTGTGATTTAAGACTGATATGGATGTTTTACTATGGGACATATGAACACTCATCATTCTACTTGAATAGATAGTGTTTATCTATCATGAATTGCTTTTGCGCATTCATTTTGCATTTCAATAACAAATAAATGACGTGGGTGGCTGCTATCAAAACCGGTGGATTATTCTCGGAAATTATGCAACTCACTAAGGGAAAATCAGTAGAAAATAAATGCTAGTAACATCTCTTAAGAATCATTTGATAATCACTGTTTAGCTTTGCTTAAGTCGCATAATCGTTACTTATTACTATAAAACCTGCTTAAATGTACTTGACAGTCCTGGGAATTACAACAGGAACTTGAGTTCTTAAGCAACATTAAATGAAATTCGTCCGGAGCCGGTGAATTTCATTTTTTCTTGAATGTTTAATTATTTAACTCAAGTTATGTGATGAAGAGTAAAAATGGTTGGTGTGCGGAAGGCTATATATAAAAGCGGAGCTGTTTAACAATAATATTTGTCGTCGTTTTGCTATAATTTTTGCCAAATTGTGAAATTTTTCAATGCATTATTTTGATACATACGCTGCTACATGTCTAGCCCTCTTCCATAGTCGATTACTTCATATTAGCGAACAATTTGTATTTTGGTAAATTTTAGCAAAAATATTTTTTTATGCTTGTCGCAGTAGTATGGTTTTTATCTGGGCCATAAATTCCTCTACAATAAGTTTTGCTTTTGATAATAAAACGAACAAAATAAACACCATATAGAAAAATTTAACTCCCAATTTGACCATAATAAAATCACTTATGATATTATTTTTACTTCAAGAGAAAGTGCTCATTATTTGCTACCTGTTAAAAATATTTTCTTGACGAAGCTCAACCTAAATAGTTAAAAGAAAAATAGCCTGATAGGTAGTAATACTAAAAATGAGGAGAAGGCTAGGTAGAGGCAGAAGTTTTTTTTGGACTTTGAGCTAAAATCGGGTTTTGCTCAAGTTGGTCAAAGAATGGCGGGGAGTGTGGAGCTTTCGGAATTTTTGGATTTTTTTTATTGATATCAAGTGTGAAATTCGATGGAATGAACTGGAAAATTACATGACGTACTGGCAAAAAAATGGATTGGATGGAAATGGGAGAATACCGAAGTTGGAAATTATTGATGATTATGGCAATACGATGGAGATGGGCGCAGTTATGCGAACATTTTGTTGAAGTAAACTGCTCAACAAAATCAATGTTACAGAGCTACATTTGGCCTAACTTTGGAACTAAATAAATTGTGATTGGTGGGAGTGATTCGATTTCTGATTGAAACTTTCTCTGATTAACTTCTTTTTATATCAATCTGTGTTCCTTGAAAAAAAAATTGTGATTTAGATAAAGTACTGATCAGAAAATGGAACAATGTCCACTTGCTCAAAGTTTGGCATGCTCCCAGTTTAATAAAAAAATGTGTTTTCCATTTGAAAGGCCTTATATCTCGAAACATTTTTTGAATGTTGCGCCTGTCTCTTTTAATAACAGTGATAAAAAAATCAACTTTTTATTTATTTGTGATCCCATTTTTGTTCTTAGACTGATTTTTAGAATACAGAACTCATGTTGAACCTAAAACTTTATAGTCGACTTAAGATAAAAATTCAATATGCAGGCTTGCATTAAAAGTGATCCAAATAAGAACTGCCTCCAAAGTCTCGGCTGCTGGTAGATAGATCTTCAGTTAAAACGAACTTTACTTTCAAACAATCCACAATTCAATTCAATTGCATATTCATGCAACTCTCAACATCAATTTTTTGTCTTCACTCGACTATAATATTTCTAAAAATTTATCCAATAGGAAAAATTTTATCCCTGTAGACCCAGAAAGCTGACTTTTTGGGCTCACCCTGTAAGTAAAAGAGATACGCAAAAAAACGCTTTCTTCAAAATAGAAATAATAACAATACATTTTTTGTGCAACTGGGAGCATGCCGAATTTTCAGAAATTTTGCAATACTTTATTTTCCACCCTGTAGAAACTTGATCTGCAGCACGAAATTTTTCCAAAATCACTTACGGACCAAAAAGGAATAGGACTAGAAAACTTCCAATATAAGTTGCTAATAATAGGGTTAAAAGAAGTTGAAAAAAGATATTTAAGTTCAGAAGTTTATTAGTCTGTGATTGATTATTGCTCGTATTTAAGATGGAAGGATGAAGAGAAAAAGCAAAAGGAAGAAAAATTGTCAAGCAGATAAAATCAGTTCCTTGGTATGGGTATAATTATGGCGTTCTATCTTACTATCTTTGAGATTTTGCTGTTTTTGGTATACTTGTTTAGGTGTTTCAATTGGATGTTGAGCTTTTCAGCAGGTAAAAGTTTCAGTATTTAACTTTTTTTGCTCTTTTCCATGATGTGTGTTAGTACTTCGTCATATTTTTGTTACATGATTTATATGAAGTTATATTTTGGATGTTTGCATTTGTTTAGAGCTGCACGGTGATGTAGTTTTATTGCCTTGTTTAAGTGTCTTTACTGCCTTGTTTGAGTACCCTGTTGTTTATCAGTGCGAGATTCTGGACTTTTGGCCCTACTTGACTGGGGTATTGTTGTTTTGAAGTTTTTTTTTACTCCTACTCTTCAAGCAAGCTTGAATCAAGAAATGAAAATCACGGAATGGCCTCGAAAGCTTATGTCTATTTATTGATGTCGTAGTTCAAGATGTTTTCCATTTTCCTGAATACATTATCTACATATTCGTTTGTTTTTCCATTTAAAACTTATATTTCTGTGTTTAGTATTTTCTTAGGTAGTAAGTTTTATTCAAAATTTTTAGCAGAAATAGAGAAATAAAAAGAAATCTAAAAATATGTAAATTAAAGTAAAGCTCTCACAGTGGAGTGATTGGAGTTACTTTGATAGAGTTCAGCGAACACACATTTTTGAATTCTTACATTCCACCTTAAATTTGTAATCTTTTGATAGCTTATAATCGAGCGTTTGTTCGTATCATAAATGGGCACTTTTAATTATTTTTGTCATCATATCAATTACAATGGGTATTTTGAAAATTAATCTTTCACAAACGGTACGAGAAAACAACTTGTTTTTACTTCGGCTTTCAGTGGAAGAATTGGTATTTCTTTTTGTTACCTCAAAGTTTTATTGATTGCCCAGGTGTATCTTCAAATAATCAAAGCTCGAATATTTCATATCCAACCGCATATTTCTATAAAATCAATAAAATATGTATTCAAGAACATGGAAGTAATGTAGGAACCTCTACTTTAAATTTTTTAAATTAAAGTTGATTTTATTTAGGTTTGAATGAAGTTGAATGAAATGAAGTCAAATTCCAGTAAATCTGAGTTTAGTTTTTAGTTGTAATATTTTGTATCCACTGAATGTTCCAACAAGCGATAATTTTATGTTTATATTTAACCGCCTCCAGGTTTTTTAGATGCCATTAAAGCCTTTGATTGTTGAAAACCTTTGACCCGTAAAATTAATATTTTATGTGCAAAAGAGTGCGTTGTTCAAAACAATGTACGGAGATCTTGTCTCATACAAATTCATAAATAAATTCACTTCCGTTTAAGAGAAATTAGTACCGCATTATTTTTTATTTAAAATTCTTCAGAGGCTATTTGGAATATGGTGTACCAGAAAAATATTGTGGGTTTAAAAATTAAAAAGATTCTAATATAATTTTCGGCTCGGTTTAAAATTGCATTTACCAAAAACTGATATTTTAGACTTGGTCAGTTTTAGGTTCCCCCACAATATAATCAAAGCGACTTGGTCTATATTCTTTAGAATGGAACACATCGGCTCACCAAACACCCTGTATAGTTTAGACTACGAAGACATAAACTCTTCACATTTATCAATGTTAAAGTTAAACAGTTTTAACCGTTATCAAT